GAAGATTCTAGAGCATTCTAGAAGGTTGTAGGTACATGCATGCATCTTGAAATTCATGCACCAATGTACATACATCCCCCCTTTCCTATCTTTTATTCATGCACCTATTTATTATGATTCATGTATGAGTGCTTATGCATTCTCCTTATTTATTACATTCATGTATGGGGCAAGTTCATGTATGGGGGGACTTCTAGGTTCGTTCATTTATGACGGCCATGTACATTGTACTTAGTGGAGAGGATGCCTATATAAGCATCCCTCTCCATCATTTTTCATTCATCCAGAAATTGAGAGTTTCCATCTCTAGAGCTTTTCTCCATACTTGTGAGTTTGAGTGAATACGAGCAAGGCTGACTTAGTGCTCTAACGAGACTTGAGTGCTAAGTGCCGCACGGCCAAGAGTTGGTCCGTGACAAGTGGTATCAGAGCCTGGTTCTTGGCAACACCATGGATGGGTATTGCCTCGGAGTTGACGGTCTTGAGCGATCCTTGCCTCTTCTCGTAAGCGATCCCCAAGCACTCCGCCTCCTCCAGTCGAAGGAAGTTGTCGGTCGCACTGGTGTCAACCAATGCTTTTGACTCGCCTCCCTCGAATTGGGTAATCACAAAGAATCTCCCCTTGCTAACTTCGTTTCCAAGAACGTGCCTTTGCATGTTACGGAGAAGATTCTAGAGCATTCTAGAAGGATGTAGGTGCATGCATGCATCGTGCAATTCATGCACCAATGTACATACATCCCCCCTTTCCTATCTTTTATTCATGCACCTATTTATTATGATTCATGTATGAGTGCTTATGCATTCACCTTATTTATTACATTCATGTATGGGTCAAGTTCATGTATGGGGGGACTTCTAGGTTCGTTCATTTATGACGGCCATGTACATTGTACTTAGTGGAGAGGATGCTTATATAAGCATCCCTCTCCATCATTTTTCATTCATCCAGAAATTGAGAGTTTCCATCTCTAGAGCTTTTCTCCATACTTGTGAGTTTGAGTGAATACGAGCAAGGCTGACTTAGTGCTCTAACGAGACTTGAGTGCTAAGTGCCGCACGGCCAAGAGTTGGTCCGTGACACAACCCATTGGAACTCAGCATCATCTCAGCCCCTCTGCTCCACAGTCCCGAGATCGATGTACCGGATCCCCAAGTCAAGCTCGCCGTAGAATCTTCTTCTTCAGCTCCCAATGTCAAAGCTTTGAGCCTTCACTGCTACAAGCACTCGGGCTTCACTAAGTCTCATCTTGATCACTTGCTCCGCAGCTTCCCATCGCTCCAATATTTTTCTCTCCCGATCAGCCCCTACGGCGGCGACGCAGAGGTGGAGATGCAGAGACTTCGAATTGCGAGTTCCAACCTTCGGAAACTAGTAATCTTTACTTGGTGGAGCACTTGGCGGTTGCTCTGCTCATTGATGCCCCGAATTTGGTCACTCTGCAGCACTTTAATCTTGATCATGCTGCCGCGGTGCCTGTAAGGAGATACCCTGTTCATCTTGTCAATGTCGCATCCATTTGCCGATTTGAATTCGACTTGTCCTACGGCGGCCGCCCGGAGCCGAAACCCATAAATCAAATTTTGTTTTGGGATTGAGGGAGTTCCTCGCCACAACGGCTCAATCACACTGTCATCTCGGCTTGGTGTTGAAGCTTAACAAGTTAAACAACTTGCAACAGGTTCGTATGGACTCTTAATGTTTCAATTTCTTGATCCTGAATAACAAGCATCATCATCCTACGCCATGTTTATGGTGTTCTCGTACAACACATCCAAGAGATTAGCTCGTGATGAGAGATCATTCAGTGAGCAACAAGCTATGTCCCGTTTTGTTACGAACGAATTTCATTCTACTTTGCTTTAACATGATCATTAATTGGTTCTGACTTCTTAATGACGGTTTAATGTATGGTCGAATATCGTTGTAGGTGACATCATTCAATTCCAATGAAGCTACTTGTAACCGCGCCTTACCTTCTTTGGTTGTTCAAAGTTTGGAGTTGGGTACGGATGTTCCGGAAACATTTGATGTGAAGAAGGGAGGTGATGCTCTTCTTGATGGTCTTTTCTGGGTCTGTCACCCTACATTTCTGTCAGTGACTCGAGATAATGGACCATTGTTTTTTGTAAGAATATTCATAATTTATGCTTATACTTAGTGAAAATGATCCATATTTTTTGAATTTGTCTTGCTTTTGTAGTAATTATTTTAATTACTGACAATATATATTTAAAATTTCCATTTTATTTTGGTTAAAAAAGTACATTTATGAGCGTCTCCTGAAGAAAGACGGTGTTGCCCATTGTTGTAATGATTTCAAATGTTGGCGCCATCAGTTGAAGAGTGTGAAAATTAAGACTAGTATCGATGATGAGATGATTGAGATTTCCAAAACTGCAGTTTCGTTCATCGAGAGGATAAGTAAAGTTAGTATTATGTTGATGTGGTATTAGTTAGATTTATGCAAAGTTTATTGTGACACATTTGTGTTGCCATGACAATAGAGAATGTTGATCATTCAACTTAGGTCTAGTAGGTGGAAATTATTATAAGGGTCCGTGCTATGATTGCGACTGATTAAAGCGAATAAGCCAAATTGCTGCAAACTGCAACATACTACATTGCATTTCACTTCTCAAAGCAACGAACCATCTTCATCACTGTAGAGTTCACTTCTTATAGTAGCGAACTCTCTACATTAATATATAGTTCGCTTGTCGCAATAACAGATAAGGTCGGGGGCATATGTAGAACGGAACTGTCATAGAGCGAGGAGCGTCAGCTTGCGAAGTCGATACAGTTACCATGCTTACCAGCTCTTACCATTGCCGCGTCGATCGCTCGTGAATGCAACGTACCAAAATTCAGTTGCTAGTATGTCAAAGAACCATGCCAAACTCTAGTAGTTTGGATAAAAATCATCCAGTTTTAGTCTCTACTAGACAATTATGGTTAACAGAATTGTCGGCTAGTGATAGAATAGAGAAAATGAAATGTCCAAAGCCCTTTATCTAATTTGAACGAACAAAAAATTAAAATTTCAATCCTAAAAAAGTTCAAAGGATATTCCAACAGCTCTAACCCACGAATAACACACAAATATAATTTTCTTATCTGAATATATTTCTTTATGACATTCACATCAATGACTGTTAATTAGGATCCAACGATTGACTTAGTGGCAATTGGGTTAAGGTTTTATAGGTTGAACCAGAAGTAGTGATAGCAATTTGAACTCGACTTACAGAGTATTATCTTACATTATCCGTGTTGAGTAGGACATATGTACTACTTCTGTCCCGTTCTTAACTCATTCTATCTTGATTTAGTTTGTCTATTTTTACTTATCTTAAATTATTTTTTCGCCCAATGATACTTTAGTTAAGTGAAAAACTTCATATTTCAACTAATTACACTCATTTGATCTACCTATTATCTCTTTTTTTTTCTAATTATGAACTATTTTTTCATTATTTTTATAGTAAAAATCAAGATGTTGTTCAAATTACATATAGGAATGGGTTTGACCTGCCTAGACCTGTATAATGCGAGTATCACTCGACCTTGCTCGCATTTAATGTGGGGCAAATTTGGACATTGAGGTACCCCGCCTCGTCCGCCTCAACGTCATCACTAATCAGAGCAACTCAATTTATCTTATTTTGAATAGGTATGTTATACAATGATTGAAATTTTAAATGAAATTTTGTGTGCATTTTATAAGGAATAGGTATGTTATATAGTGATTGAAATTTTGAATGAAAAAATGATAATTTATTTTGAATACTACATAATAAGGTTCACATTAGATAACATTAAAACTCACTCCAAAAATGAAAATATTAAAATAAAATAAGACCCTAGGATCTAAATCAATTTTCTTAAATCAAATAGGGAGAACATATGATAACCGAATTTTTTTTCTTCATAAGAAGAGGAGGAAGTGCATCGAGTGAAAACTATTTTTTATGGAAATTACAGTCTTCGATTATAGTCCATCGTGGTTGTTAAGTCAAATCCTACAAAAAGTTGAAGTGTATCGCAAGCCAATGAAAATGATTAATCACAACAAAACGACCTTTCTGGTCAAATTTTCAATGATACACTTTGTCAACCAATTAATATATATATATATATGTGTGGGGGGGGGGGGGGGGGGGGAGTTCTACGATACACAGGGTGAAATTCGGGGTACCGCATACCTTGAGTATGAAAATGCTATCTAGACCTTGAATTGACTGAACTTTCGGACATGATACTATACTCTAACCCTTAAAGATCAAAATCTAGGTTTTCGCTCTCTAAATCTTATACCCCAAGATCAATTTAATTAGAAACAATAATCCACGGTTATGATTCGTCCAAATATAGGCAAAAAATGAATGCACCATCTATTTATAGTTTATGATTTAGATAATTAGGACCTAGAGTTCACTCATTAAGGGTTAGGGTAATGTATTAGGCACAAAAATCCTGCAAATTCGAGGTCTAGATAACGTTTTCATACTCATGTATGTAGTACCCCGAATTTCACCCGAGATACCGTAGAAGCCACCGTATATATATAAAGTTTAATAAAATGAGATTTATGGTTATGGGACATTAAAATAGTGCTACCAAAATCCATGTTAAATGGTACCTCAATAAGTTAATAGCTTTGGGAATAATATTAATTGGTGTGTTTCCATTAGCCTATAGGTTACTAAACTACATGACAGTAGTGTACATTAGCAAAGCTATATAGGAAGTTAGGCAACAGTAACCTACTTAAGCTATTCTCCACGTCTTGGTTCTAAGTCGTGAATGAGTGGAGAACTAAAAGGATCAATTCCCGTTCGCCCTTTAAATTAGTACGATAGCTAAAAGTAAAAAAAGCATCACAGAAACCAGAGTGTCCACGTCTTGGAATCGGCAAATGAAATCTGGAAAGCTGTTCATACTTCATACCATTAACAATGTTAAAACGAAACACGCCTCCAGGAAACCGGGATCAGTGGTTGCCACCTGGAATTTATGTTCGCATTATGGAATGACCCACCACTTCCACTTACACACTTCTTCAAATACTATTTTAGCATGATAATCTATCATTAGCCTTTTAAACCCTCTAGCTTACTAGCTTATCTTTTGGTCCATGGCACCACTAACAGATGCCTAACTGGCCTTAATGACTCTGCTACGATAGTGGCCAACCAACACAGACAGAAATGCATCAATGCCTCTGCCACTATGATGAAGATATATAGAACAAGAGCCAGTTCACCCACACGATCAATCATTAAGATGGACCAAACTTGTAGCAGTGAACTGAACGTGACTTACAAACAGTTGAAGCTTTTCTCAAAACCACAATCTGGGAAGCCATTCGAAATGCCATTTTTTCTTTCACTTGAAGCTCTTCATAATAAGACACCACATTAAGTAGCCAGCAGTATGATGGCATTGTACAGAGCGTGTACTGCAATGGAAGAACTCAACCTCCCTGTCCAACAGTAACAGCAACCCAGAACAGACCCAACTATGAACAACTGCACAAAATTTTCGCCAGAGAAGTGGGCAGCACTGAACACGGCAGAACTAACTAGCACTGCTTGCTGCCAGTTTGTCCTGGAGGCGAGAGACCTCAACAGAAACCCTCTATAGACCGTTTCTTCCAGCAGGGGAGTGGTAATGCAGTATACAAAAGCACAAGCAGCTTTTGCTGCGTTGCTGCTCTGCAGGATCTCCTTCACTATGGGGCTGTTTGCTGCCTGAAAGATAAGTTAAACAGAAAAGAGTATGAGAAAAAAAAAAACCAATATTGAACTACAGAAAGTTCAAAATATGGCGATCCCCAAACGAGAAGGCAAGGCGAAACCAACCCTGCCGCCATCTGATGATATGCTGGTGACTAATGATGTCAGGAGAATCATGAGGAGAAGAAACCCAAAGCCCAAAGCTGATGCCAACACCCAGTTTCTCTCTTTGTCCGATTTCTTGACTTGGAAGAAATTAGTCAGCTTGTGTTCTGGCCTAGCGGCAGTACTAAGCAGAAGCAAAGCGCCAGCTAATTCTAGTGTTTGGACAACAAGTAGCGATATTACCTGCACAAAGAGGAAACAAAAATCAAGCCGATTATACCCTAACTAATGATCACATGGAAGGAAGGCATCTGTTGGTATCTGTTCTTGATTCTAGTTATTCAACTCGCATGTCATATAAGAACATTCAAAGTCATAACCTTGTCTAACCGAAATACCCAAATGCAAATTCGAGATCCCGAAACAAAGAAGAAAGCAAAGCAAGCTTACTTGAGCCTCAGGATCAAGAGCAGGCTGCCGCAATACGTACGCAGCAATAGACGATCCACCAATACCCAAAGGGATGTGCAGAGAAAACATGTACGTAGCAAAGATGCTCCATGTACTCCCTTCATTCCACGGTACCTCCGGCGAAAGAACTAAAAATCCCTGTTTACTTTGAGCCAATCAAAACAGCCAGGGGAAAATCAAAATTCACAATCACTGCAAACATCAATTGCAGTAAACCTCGCTAGAAAAGAACTAATTCCGGGCCTAAACCCCGTGAAATCAACTTATGATTCATCAAGATTCTTCCAAATTGATTACAAGCAGTTACTAAATTACCTCAACTACGTCGGCGGCTTGATCGGCGGCTACACTTTCGCCTTCTCGGCAACAACATTTGAAAGATGAACGCCAACGACGACTGGATTGGAGGAAGTAGGGTGAAGAGCGAAATTCGGCAAGTGGAAGTTTCCTTTTTGCTGGGAATGGAAGAACAGCAACTGCCGGCGACAGAGCTGCTTGAATCATCCTCTCGTCGTGGATCGCCGTCCGCCGGCCACACTTGCCCCCTTTCACCGTCGTTCACGGCCAGTCAGTCGAGATAGGCCATTGATTTGATCATTTGCTCTCCTTAGTCAAGTGCAAAAGGAAAATTGAAATTCGCAGTTCCGAAACGTTTTCATTTGGAGGACTGACACTGAGTCCGGGCCTTGAAAAGCTCGGTAAAGGAAGAACGTTAAGCCCATTCTTTGAGTATTAGTAATGCTGGGCCGGGCCAGCCCACTGGACCAACTATTGCGATCTGTAGAAATTTGAGCGATATGGGGTATGCAAAATCTCTTTTCCGGGAAACAAAACGAGACGCCGTCACTTCTTCAATCGGAAGGGCGCCGCTGCTATCCCAGCCATGGCGAGTGCTGGAGCCGTACTGGAGCTCCAGAAAAATTCAGGCAATTGGGCTAAGGTTGTGGAAGAAGTGGTGAAGATGGAGAGGAAGATATTCCCGAAGCACGAATCACTCGCCAGATCATTCGACGAAGAGCTCAGGAAGAAAAATTCTGGGCTGCTCTACATAGAAATCAACGGCGAGGTTGTGGGCTACGTCATGTATTCTTGGCCTTCTTCACTGTCCGCTTCCATCACCAAGCTCGCAGGTTTTTTTCTTTCCCCCTCGTCTCGCTTTCTTCTCAGACTAAAGTCAATGCTTATGACCTGTTCGATGAAAGTCCCACAAGGGATAAGTGTGGTTGTCTTTGATCTTTGTCCACAGTGAAGGAAAATTGGAGGAGGCAAGGACATGGGGTGGCGCTTCTGGTAGCGGCGATTCAGAAATGCAGGACGAGAAGCGTGCAACGGGTGTCGCTTCACGTTGATCCCTTGAGGCTGGCTGCTGTGGGACTATACAAGAAAATGGGGTTTCAAGTGGAAACCTTAGTGCAAGGTTATTATTCGTCGGACAGAAGCGCCTACAGAATGTACCTGGATTTCGATTCTGAGTAGCCCAAGGCAGCTCAAGTGAAGCGAAATGATCTCTTCTCTGCGGTAAGTTATTAATTTGACCTGGGACTGCTTAGTTGGATTCTTAATTGAATGAGTTGAAACACTAAGCACCGCTCTGTGGAAATTGGGGGTTGATGGAGAGGAGTTGATGAAATGGTGAATGAGGAACATGGTTTCTTGGATTGTTATCATATGCACTGGGATGCTTACCTGATGGAGTGATGGTCCGACAAGGCAATGAAGCCAGATTCTGTCACAATTTGTAGCATAATGCGAAATTTAGTTCACCCTGTTGAATATTGTGGATTTTGTGATTATTGAGAATCAAAAGTGATATTCTCATTGATACGTTGAGAACTAATATACAGGATTGGGGAGACAAATAAGGAGCACTAGCAACAGGAGGAATTCTTGAGTGCTCCCGGAGCACCACCTCAGCCGTGCTCCCTTCCAATAAATATGCGTCACCTGTATGGTACTAATTAAAAGGAAAAGGTTTATACCGGAAACTCAATTCAATGATTAATTCCATAATCATAATTCCATAATTATTCTAGACTTTCCCTTTTTATTTGTTTTTTCGTCTCCCTGGCTCAAGAGCTCAAGATATGGAAAAGTTAATCTGTTAACTTGAATATTCGTTAGCAGATACTAACTGATATCCAAAATACATGAACTAGTATCAAAGTACTAAAGTATTTAGAGAACACAGACTAGTATTCAAAGTTTGCTAACTGATATCTACAATGAATCAACTATTATCCCGAATTCACAAACTAATATCTAGACAACACAGAATACTATCCATATAGCACATAATTAGTATCCAGATTACACAAAAGTATCCAGATAACATATAAGAGTATCCATATTGAATACTAGTTAGTTGTTTGTGGATATTAGTTGGTATCTGCTATTTAGATACTAGTTTATGATGTTTTGAATACTAGTTTGTGCTATCTAGATACTCAGCAGACTTGGATATTAGTTCATACATTTTGGATATTAGTTAGTATATACTAATGATCTTCTCGTTAGCAGAATAACTTGGCTGAGATAGGGTGAGTAACCTTAAGGTGAGTAATAATGAGTAACCAAATCTGAACCCTTTTTTTAAGTGGCTGCAGATCTAAGGGTGGAGAATTAAAGGAATTTATTTTCCCTAGTTTTCTTAATTGGATCATATCTTCTTCATTCTAACTCAGATTTCAAATTTTTTTTTTTTTTTTTTTTGCACAGATGGAACGAGTTCGTTGTGCTCTACAAAATGATATACATTTTCAATATTTTTTGAGAAATTTTTTTTTATCCCTCTCGTTACCAACTCCATACCATATGGTATCTCCTTTGTTGTTTAGTCATTTTCGGAAATTTTTGCACAAAAGGAACGATTTAATCATGATCTATTGGATTTCCAAATTTTCTGGGGGAAAAAATTCCATACCTCTCGTTACGAACTCCATACCATACTATACCACCCTGGTATGAGGTGGTATTTTTCATACCATATGGTATGCTGTTATTTAATATCATATGGTATTGACTGGTAATAACTGGCAAATTTTTTTTGTTCCAAAAAATATCAAAGTGTATATCATTTTGAATCGTTACCAACTTCATACCATACTATACCACCCTGGTATGAGGTGGTATTTTTATACCATATGGTATGTTATTTAATATCAGTGGTATTGACAGGTAATAACTGACAAATTTTTTTTGTTCCAAAAAATATCAAAGTGGATTTCATTTTGAAGAACACAATTAATCTGATCTAACTGTGCAAAAAAAAAAATTTAATTCCGAGTTAAAGCGAGTGAGAAATCGTCCGTTAAAGATTAAGGGAAAGAAAATTAATGATTTTTCCTGGAGAGAGAAGGAGGCGCTGATGTGGCAGATTCTTATTTGGTTATGCATGGCGTTACTCACCACAAGGTTACTCACCGAATATGCTCTCTGGCTCAAGATAGGGTGCATCTGAACCTTTCATTTAGAAAATCCAAATCTAAGGATGGAGAATTAAAGACCATATTTATTTTCCCTAGCTTTCTTAATCGACTCATATCTTTTTCGTTTTAATTCGGATTTTAATATTTTTTTCACATATGGAACGAGTTCATCGTGCTCAACAAAATTAGATCAATTTTCAATATTTTTTGAGAAAAAAAATGATGGCCTCTCGGTACCAACTGCATACCATATGGTATCTTCTTCGTTTTTGAAAACGTTTGCACAAAAGGGACAAGTTCATCATGATCTATTGGATCTACAAATTTTTGGGTGAACAAATTATAGGACCAAAAAGTACCACACAATACCACCCTAGTACGAGGTGGTATCTTGTGGTACACAATGTTAAAAGTCGTAAATAACAATTAATATACTTCTACTATGATGTATTCAATCATCATACAGTCTTGGTTTGTTTATACCACCGTCCATGGTATGCTTTTCAAACCATACATATGCTCTTATTTCAATACTAGTCAATACCATATGATATAGACAGGTAGAAAATGGCTAGATTTTTTTTGTTCAAAAAATATATCAAAGTGGATATCATTTTGAAGAGCACAATTAATTTGATCTAACTATGCAAAAAAATTAAATTTTAACTTAAAACGAGTGAGAAATCGTCCGTCAAAGATTAAGGAGTGGAAAATTAAAGGCTTTCCAGGAGAGAGAGGGATGCTGATGTTATGCTGATGTCGACAGGTTACTCATGATTACTCACCATAAGGTTACAGACCTGATCCGTTCCCCCCTGGGTTGGCACGGTTGTTCCCAAAGATAATAAGCCATGAAAATAATAATTACTTTGGGGAAGTATTGTTATCGGCATAATAGAAATGAGTTTGGGGCTAATTTTCTTAAATAGAAAAATGTGAATGAAGAAGTAGGGTTGGGAAAATAGATTAGACCGTTTGAAAAATCATGGATCAAATTGGATTGTATAGTTTGGTTCGGACCATAGACCGTTAAGAATGCTTAGGTCTGGTCTATGCTCTGTATTATATGATGTATTGATCTCTTGGTCTGGTCTGGCCTAGTCCTCGGTTTACATATTATTATGTAAAATATAATAGTGATTCCACATTGTTTTACGTATAGGTGTCAATTGGGCGGGTTCGGGATGGGTTCAATCGGGTTTGGGTTTAAAGGGGTTGCGGGTTCAGGTTCATTGGGTTTGGGTTCAATCGGGTTGCGGGTTCATCGGGTTGCGGGCGGATCGAGTTCGGGTTGTTCGAGTCAGCGCATCGAGTAACTTACTCATTACTAACTTACACATTTTATTACACTAATTTAAAATATTTTTCTCAAGTTTTTAACCAATTTATTTCTACCTCGTATATATAGGGCTGACATTTCGGTTAGTTCGGTTATAACCGATAACCGAAATGTCGGTTACCGATTAACCGAGACAGGGCATGCGACTACCGGAACCGACCGAAGGAAAGCTTTGGTTAGCCGGCAACCGACCGGTCGGTTACTAGTTAGTTGGCCGGTTAACCGAAGTAACTGCGGAATGCAAAGGAAAACGATGAAGCAGAGGAGCACACCGAAGTAGGATTAGAAGGCCGGATCTCGTCCCTGTCGCCGCCGATCTTCGCTTTCTTGGCGGTGCCGGCGGTGAAGAGCGAGTTGAGGAAGCTGGCGAGTCGGCCGCCGGGTGAAATCGGCTGCTTCACTTTCTTCAGGTCACCGTAGATGTTCTTCAACGATCTCGATTTCTTCTTCACAAATCATCCTCCTCCGCCGCCGCCGACGTCCGATTTTTCCTGCCGCGGGCTAGCTTCCAATGAGGTGGTGGTAGAGGTTCGAATCGGCTTGAGGACTTGGGATCTGGGAACAGGGATGGAGAACGAGTTGTCGGAGGAAGAGAACCCGGCGCCGGTTCCGTTGCTCGAATCCGACGAGCTGGAGCTCGAGTACTCAACCCCAGATTTCCTTCGGACCTCACGAAACGCAGCGTTTTGGAGAAGTAGCCTCCTCTGTTTCTCACGCTCTGCCTCTTCCTCACATCCATAGCCAGAGCTCTTCTGGTTCTGCTTCTTGTTCTTCTGCTTCATTGTCTCGTAACCATTCTCTTCTTTCCCCAAATTACGGGCACTGTAATAATTCCCTTTCCTCGTTGCCGCGGCTGCGATTTCCTTCTCGCTGTAGTACTTCATGTTCTTGCCGCCGCCTGCGACGGAGGAGGTATTGTCGAAGGAGCGGTAGATGGCGTCGAGGAGAGTGGAGGAGAAAGATGGGTTATTGGTGCTGTTGCTGGGAGTGGCTGGCGACGGTGTAGAGCGGCGGCGGCGTCGCCCTTCAGGGTCGGGGAGGGAGAAGGGAGAATGAGGCGGCGGGTCGAAGTCGATTGCAGAGGTAGGAGGAGGGCTGTCTTCGATTAGGGTTAGGAGAAAGGAGAGTGAGGGTGCGACACTGCGGCGTCGTTTCAATCGCCAGTTAGCTGGCCGGTTAGCCGGTTAACCGGCACAGTAAGAGCTGCTACCGCCAACCACCCGACACCCCATTTTTCGGTTAGTCGGTTAACCGGTAACCAACGGTTATTGGTTTAACCGACCGGTTAACCGGTAACCGAACGACCAGCCCTACGTATATATATGCTTAAACTTTTTTGAAAAAAACGAGTCAAAATGTTAAATCAATTTGTATGACTTGCAAACTTGTTATGTAATTAATCGTAATTGGTAAAGTACACTAGCTAATAGTAATGGTGATATCAACATTTGCAACCAAAAGACACCATTAATTGTTTATTTGATATTTTGGTATTATTTCAGTAGTGTAATGGGATTAAAGTATCTCATTTAGTATAATCATGCAAATGTGGTATTTGGCATGTGGTATTTGGCAAAAGTAGAAAGATAAAAGAAGTTATTTCAAAATAACTCATTGCCCAAATAACTTCAGTAAACTGTTGTCAAACGAGTTATTTGTAAAATTGTACGAATTATCCTAAAAATTGAACCATTAAAGATTAACTATCAAATTTAGTAAAATTATTGTGACTTCAATCATAACTTACTCAATAACATATATCTTATACACTTAGCTTTACCCTCAATCGACAATATTAAGTTAGTATATGTTGTTGATTGTATACCCTAAACCATCAATACATTATACAATAACCACATACCCTATACCCTAACCATATGTCCTTATGAGTTGTGATTTTGCTAGTATAGTTAATTTAAAACTGAAATTCATACTTTGATTTTCAAAATATAGATAAAAAGTGATATTCGCTAATTGTTATACCCTAACCAAGTAACCATATATCCTATACTCTACACCATATACATTGTACCCTAACCAGGTACCACAAACATAAATTAAAAAGAGATCTCCTGTCGTTAAAAACTTCAAATGACTTCAAGTGAGCATATGTTAATAAAAAACTTAGAACTGTCAAAACCATCAATATCTTATACTCTAACCATATACACCCTAAACCATCTT